AGAATTAAAAAGAATAGAATAGAGTAAGAATTAAAGTAGAGTAGAATAATATTAGAATTATACTAGAATTAGACAAGACTAGAATTAAAATTAGAAAGAATAGAATAATAATTAGAGTAGAGTAGAATAATATTAGAATTAGAATTAGACTAGACTAGAGTTAGAAAGAATAGAATAAAATAGAACAGAACAGAACAGAATAGAATTAGTCCTCAACTTACAACCAACCCCCCCAAAAGGGGACTTACAACCTGGATTCAAAGCTGTGGCAGTTGAGAGTCCCCACTGCAGTCACAGTCACGTGACTGACCCATTTTACAACCTCCATTACATACAGCTGTAATAAGCAGACTCCCTCACTGTTGTTTGTCAAAGACTCCCTGTGGCATCCTCTCCTTTGAACAGCCATTATCCCAAACTCGGAAGCTTCCTCTCAAAGACAGGTTTGCACCCTTGTGTTAAGTACCCCAGTTGGAAGAAAGAAAGGAGTTAGTGATGTCTGCTCACATCCCAGTTACTTCTTTATGGTTGCTAATGGAGGCCTTTGAACTCTGGTGCTGGAGGAGAAGTCCCTTGGACTGCAAGGCCATCCAACTGGTCGGTCCTTAGAGATCAACCCTGGCTGCTCTTTAGTAAGCCAGATCCTGAAGATGAAACTCAAATACTTTGGCCATGTCATGAGAAGGAAGGACTCCCTGGAGAAGACCCTAATGCTGGGAATGATGGAGGGCAAAAGAAGAAGAAGGGGACGGCAGAGAAGGAGGGGGCTGGATGGAGTCATGGAAGCAGTCGGCATGAGCTTCAATGGACTCAAAAAGATGGTATAGACGGCCTGGAGGAACATTGTCCATGGGGTCACGATGGGTTGGACACAACTTCGCAACTAGCAACAACAGCAACAACAACAAAGCATAAGCAGAAAAGTTGCACGTTGTTTGTTTACCTCTCTTTTGGTCAGGAATGGCATGAAATTAAATATGGGGTGAAGAAGCCAAGAGAGGTATTCCAACAAGGTAACTGTAGGAGAAAGAAGATTCAACACTTAAGGGGGAGAAAAATACAAGGGATCTGTGAATCAATCCAGATTTAAGAACATGTGGAAATGAACCCAGTATGACAATTCACATCCTGGCCAGTGTCTCTTTTAATTTTACCATCAGGCCGAAGACACAGAAGTATAACCAGCTGGACAAACAGGTTTAAAAACATCTTCTAGCCATGGGCTGTCAGGCTCCTAAACACAATATAGCACCACAAACAGATTTAATATGATGATTTTCACTGGTGCCAGTTAGTGTGTAATGTGTGTATACCATGAAATAAGATCATACACCAGACTAATATACATGTTGCACAGAATATGACGTACATATGGAATAATATGACTATTTTTTCCCTAAATACTTGTAGAATGGAGTGGAGTGGAGTGGAGTGGAGTGGATAAAGTGGAGTGGAGTGGAGTGGAGTGGAGTGGAGTGGAGTAGAGTAGAGTAGAGTAGAGTAGAGTAGAGTAGAGTAGAGTAGAGTAGAGTAGAATAGAATAGAATAGAATAGAATAGAATAGAATAGAATAGAATAGAATAGAATTCTTTATTGGCCAAGTGTGATTGGACACACAAGGAATTTGTCTTTGGTGCAAATGCTCTCAGTGTACATGAGAAAAAATAAAATACATTCATCAAGAATCATAAGATACAACGCTTAGTGATAGTCATAGGTTACTATAAGCAATCAAATCATACATAGGTTACTACGACACAATCAAAACATACTAGGAAACAAATAAAACAATATAAATTGTAAAAATACAAGCAACACGGTTATATAAGGTTATATAAGGTTAATAACATGGTTATATAAGGATTATTCATGTTGTATTGTATTCTTGTATGTACTGCACCAGTGGAGGGGTTCTAATTTTTTTAACTACTGGTTCTGTGGGTGTGGCTTGGTGGGCGTGGCAGGGGAAGGATACTCTAAAATCTCCAGTCAGAGGTGGGATTTGCCGGTTCTCTGAACTACTCAAAATTTCTACTACCAGTTCTCCAGAACTGGTCAGAAGCGGCTGAATACCCACCTCTGGACTGCACCAGTAGAGGCTATGATGTTCAACGACAATAAAGGCGTTGATCTTTGAATAGATCAGTCTGCCCGTGGTGACTCAAGGAGGCTTACAGAATATAAAAAAAAATGTTTCAAACCATAAAACTGATTTTTAAAAAATCAATTAAATATAACAATAAAATCATAATAAAATCACCTCCTGCCCCCGCCGCCCTGCCCCAATGAGTTAGTAAGTACTAAGTTAGTAACCCAGTTGTTAAGTGAATCTTGGTTCCCCAAGTGTCAGAAGGTCCCGAAAGGGCATTATGTGACCCCTGGGATGCTGCAACCGTTGTAAGTATGAATCAGTTGCCAAACATCTGAACATTGATCACAAGAGGAGAGGGAAATGCTACAAAGGTTGTAAGTGTGGGAAAAGTCCCTTTTTTCAAGTGTTGTAACTTTGAACGGCCACTAAATGAACTCTTGTAAGTTGTACAGGTGTATAGGCTACAGGTGATCCTTGACTTAACAACAGTTTATTTAGTGACCAAAGTCACAACGGCACTGAAAAAAAGTGACGTATGACCATTTTTCACACTGACGACCATTCGGCATCCTTGTGGTCACATGATCAAAATTTGGCCCCTTGGTAACTGATTCATATTTACGACGATTGTTGCAGTGTCCAGGAGTCACGTGATCCCCTTTTGCGACCTTTTGATGAGCAAAGGGGAAGCCAGATTCACTTAACAACTGGGTTACTAACGTAACAACTGCAAGTGACTCACTTAACAACAGTGGCAAGAAACTGTCCTTCCTAGCAACAGAAATTTTGGGCTCAGTTGCGTTTGTACGTCGAGAGCTGCCTGGATTCATTGATTTATGAATCAAAGAATCTCAATGTCCCTGGAGATTTCCTAGACATGATAGGTCGAAGGAGGCTAAAGCTTCAAAATGAAATATTCTAATTACCTGTGACTTTCAAACAATACCCAGGCAGAACCAGTCTTGGCTTCGGATGACCCAGCTTTTCATACTGTAAGGGACAGAAAAGAAATATGTCTCAAAAAAAGAAAAGGTGTTTTCCACGCCATGACGAATTAAAGGTGAATACGAAATGAGATTCACCTCCTTACTTCAGAAGAATCGCGTAGCCACTTTTCCAAATAACAAACTTTCCTAAAAGGTAGAAGCTTCTGTGAGCTCCCTTCATTAGGTGTATAGGGGGCCTAGGTGGGTGGGATTCAGCCGGTTCGAAACGGTTCAGATGAACTGGTAGTTCCGGTGATTAGTTGGCCCCACTGCGTTTATGAGCCAAAAACGGGTGGTTTTCAAATGGGTGCACACTCACCGAACCAGTTGTTACACCAGTTGAATCCCACCCCTGGGCCTGGACCCCTAATTTTCTGCCACTGCAGGCTAACTTAGCTCTCTTCCTACAGTGTCGATTGGGAGCTAGAGATTCTCAAGTCAGCAATGTTAGTTTTGAAATCTTTAGTGTCCTCTGAGCTTGGGTGCTTGCTTGCAGATATTATGCATCTTAGAGTGAGCGTGGGGTTTGTCCACTATTTACTTACAGTAGCTTGTCTTGCCAGTACTGGTGGGTTGTGTAGGTTTTTCCTTGGTAATTCCTTGATTAGGGTATTGTTTTCTGCTTGATGGTTTCCCTGGTGTTAATCCCTGCTTATCTGACAGCTGGAGAGGATATGTTCTGTTTCTTGTTTCCTTCTACATTTTTTAATTGTCTCTTCTGAACAGTGTGTATACATGGTTTCCCTCTAAGTGTCCGTCGATGGCTGATTTGTCTGAATGCCAAACTTCCTGGAATTCCCTAATGTTTCTGGAATTAGCTCGGTCTAAGATGCTGCCATCTCAGATTGCTTAATTTTAAAGCAGATGGGCAAATTCAGCCACAGCTTCAATCTAGTTTCAACTAGATTGCAACTACATAGCCAAAAAGGCATTAAGAGTTGTTAACCTAATCCTACGTAGCTTCTTCTCTGGTAATATCACACTACTAACCAGAGCATACAAAACATTTGCTAGACCAATACTCGAATACAGTTCATCAGTCTGGAACCCACATTACGTATCTGATATTAGCACAATTGAGAAAGTCCAGAAATATTTCACAAGAAGAGTTCTCCACTCCTCTACTTGTTGTAGAATACCTTATGCCACCAGACTTGAAATTCTAGAACTAGAAAACCTTGAATTACGCCGTCTTCGGTCTGACTTAAGCATGGTATATAAAATCATACATTGCAATGTCCTACCTGTCAGTGAATACTTCAGCTTCAACCATAACAACACAAGAGCACACAATAGATACAAACTCAAAGTAAACCGCACCAAACTTAATTGCAGGAAATACGACTTCAGCAATAGAGTGGTCAATGTCTGGAATACTCTACCCGACTCTGTAGTTTCTTCCCCAAACCCCAAAAACTTTAACCTTAGACTGTCTACTATTGACCTCACCCCTTTCCTAAGAGGTCTGTAGGGGGCGTGCATAAGCGCACCAACGTGCCTACCGTCCCTGTCCTATTGTTTCTCTTATTCTTTTATTTTTCTTATATGTACCCATTTCATGTATTCATAACTATGTATACACTTATACTTATTATCTTGTAAACAATTGGCAAATCAAATAAATAAATAAATAAAATAAATAAATAGTTTCAACACCTGTGAACAATCAACCAAGCTCAGAGAATACCACGGAGACTACAGCTCAGTGATACTCCCTTCCACTGGAAAGTTGGTTGCATCAATAACCACCTGCCTCTTAATAGCACAAGAGGCACAGAGTAAACCTGTTAAATGGTGAAATGGCAAGAAAGCATGGCTGGCTGGGGAATTCTGGGAGTTGAAGTCCACAAGTCTTAAGGTTGCCAAGTTGGAGACCCCTGCTATAGAATAAACCTGAAGATCTGGCCTATTCTCCAAAGATTTCCTGAAGCAAGAAAAAGGTCTTACCAGAACTGATATCCATTTGAAAAAATTGATCTTTTCTCCATCATTTATAAAATAGGCTTGACCACTCTGGAGAAAAATAAACAGAAGGAATAAGAGAACAGGAAAACATAAAAAGTTCCCCAGGGCAGGTGCCATTGCCAATTTGGTCAAAATGGACCCAACATGAAATCTGAAATGGACTACGTACGGCAATGAAATTTCTCTCTGCTGTTAGAGCTCTTCGGGCAAGGAGGTAGGCTTGAGTTAAATTATAAATATGAACCCAGTTTGTCCATGTGCCCGTGGTATCCAAGGTGACGTACAGTAAATAGTCCTGGATAATTTTCTATGGAAAAGAAACCGGAAAAAGTCATCCAATATTTCAGTGTGGGATGAAATGCAATTAAGAAAGAAAGAGGAGGAGGAGGAGGAGTGGGGGGAGGAGGGGGAGGCATGGGAGGAGGAGGAGGAAGAGACACCCGGGATACTGTGACCGTCATAAATAGGAGTCAGTTGCCAAGCGTCCGAATTTAAACCGCGTTCAAAGTTCAGAAAAGCAACACTTACAATGAAACGGGAAATGTGTTTGTTGTCTCCTGGACCGTAGATTCCTGGCGGGCGAAGGGCACACGTTCGCAGCGTCTCCCCGTCTACAAAATAAAATGAAATCATTCCGTGGAATTTCTGCTGGGGAAAACCCTGGGGAAAAAAGAGCTTGTCAAGGCTCCAGTATTCCCCCCCCCCCCCATTTAAATCATGAGCCTCTAGCCAGATTTTTCAGAGCTTAAAGAAGGAGGAGTGAACATGCCGGCGCTGCCTGGGTGCAGCCGACTCTGAGACACATCAGTCATTGTCACCCTTGACCCTGGTTTTCCCCCCACCCACCCTGGGTGTATCATCATTCATATTCTCCAATGGGACACATCCATAGCCAAGAGTCATCAGTCATGCTCTCCAGTTGTAATTTTGTGCGCCACAAACTTCAGTCGCCTAGAAATTATCTATGAAAGCATTTAAGGAATGCACTACTTCTCCCCTTCCCTTTCTGCTGGTAACTCTTAAAAAACCAGAGGAATATTTTATGAGTTGACAGAGTCATTGAGCAAGCACAAAACACAGCTTCGGTTTCATGGCTTTTCCCCCATCCCACTTGAATTATCGTACAGGTCATCTTTGTTTAGCCATTGCCTTGTTTAGCAACCGTGCGTAGTTATGACAGCCATGAAAATTCACTGGTGACCCATCGTTGCATTTGCAAACTTCCTAGCTATGTCGAGCAAAAGGGAAGCTGAAATCAGATCATCGCGTTGCACTGACTCTCTTAGTGGCCACTTCACTTAACGACCAAGTGGCTGGTCCTAATTGTGGTCGCTAAACAAGGACATCCTGTATAAACCAAGTACAGTAGATATCTCACAAGAGGGAAGGAAAGTATTGCAAATTCTCTTCCCGTATAGGTATTACTCAACTTATGACCACAACCAAGCTCCAAAAGATCTGTAGCTAAGCGAGACAGGTTGCAAAACCCACTTAGCAAATGTCCCACTAGCAACAAAAATATCAGTTCAATTGTAGTTTTAAATCAAGGACTAACTGTACAGTCCTTTTCTGTTCTGGTTTGGGGAGAACTATCAGCCAGACAGAGTCCCCTTTTCATAATGTTTTTATAAGTTGCCCAAAGTCACTGAAAGTGAGTGGGTGGCCATATAAATCTTCCAAATACATAAATAAAATGTGGGGGTTTTTTTTCATAATGTTTTTCCTTAAATGTTTTTCAAGGTCCCGTCAGGCTGGAAAAGGAAGGAAGGAAGGAAGGAAGGAAGGAAGGAAGGAAGGAAGGAAGGAAGGAAGGAAGGAAGGAAGGAAGGAAGGAAGGAAGGAAGGAAGGAAAACTGCTTCAAACCTACCCTGAAGTGGGGCTCCATTGGCAGCTAGAATCATCTGCTCTGCAATTGTTTTGGATTTAGAATAATTGTCAGGTTGCTACAAGAGAGACAACACCTTTATTTATATTTATGTCTATGTCTATATTTAGATTATGATTATGATTACGATTAAAGGTTTTTAAAATCTTAATATAAAATACAAATAGAAATAAAGACAATGGAATCCCCCAACTGATGTCTAATTCGTGAAATTCGAGAATTGCATTGCAAAATTCGCAGAAGGGTGAACGTTGTAGGACAATTGAATTCTGCTTCGAGGATGAATAAGAGTTGGCTGAATTAGGGAAATCAAAGCATTGCAAATCCTACGGCTGTGAAACTAGACCAGGAAATATACCTATCTCCGGTGGGTGGGGAAGCAAAGGCAAAACATTTCTCTAGTGTTTAGTTTGAGAGATGTCAATGTCTAAAGGTGAAATCAGATAAATTGTGGTTAACATGCAAAGTCCCCTACATTCAATATGTTTCTCACCCAGTAGTGGGATTCAAATTTTTTTACTTCCAGTTTCTGTGGGCGTGGCTTGGTGGGCATGGCAGGGGAAGGAGACTGTCCAATGTCCAGTCAGAGGTGGTGTTTGCCGGTTTTCCGAACTACTCAAAATTTCCACTACTGGTTCTCCAGAACTGGTTGGAACCTGCTGAATGCCACCTTTGTTCTCACCCAAATATACCTTTTCAAGTGGATAATACGGCAATGTTTCATCTCCATCTTCAATTGGATCCCCTCCAAATATAACAGTCATTGAACTGCCATAGATCAATTTGGAAATGTTTCTTGATTTGCAAACTGCGGAGAAACAATGCATTACACCAGTGTTTTTGAACTTTAGCGATTTGAAGATTTGTGGACTTCAGCTCCCAGAATTCCCCAGCCACATGCCTTAAGATGGGTGGGCTTCAACCCCCAGAATTCCCCAGCCACCATACATTAAGATTCCCCCTACTGGCTGGGGAATTCTGGGAATTGAAGTTTTCATGCATCTTAAAGTTGCTGTGGTTGAGATACACCAGTCTAATATATCCATATTATGTTATTGGCCTCTCATGAGTTCTTGGAGGAAAGGTAAGCCACAAATACTTTTAAAAATATAAGAAATAAAGCCAAGTACAGAACAACAAACCAGGATTAACATCCACTATGTTTTTTCCCTGCAGAATGTAGTCTTGTAGTAGGCTACTGAGTTTTCCAGAAATGAGAATGCTTCCGTTGTATCGGCATAAATGAGAAAAATGAACTGAGGCATACCATCAATGATAACCTTTGTTCCTCCCACGTTGATGGAGTCAATCTCTTTTATCTTTTTGAGCTTAGAAGCAATAGGACAGAAGAAAAAAAAATCAGAAGAATTATGAGGTTTTATTTAGGTCACAATCAATTTTGCAGCTACTAAGATTGTTGGACGAGCAGGGACAAAAACAGCGGGGAAATGATTGAAGTCTGGGAAACAGGCACCTCGTCAGTCAACAGGAGTTCTGATTTACTACCAATCTATCAAGTAATTAGAAGGCGAGGACTGGGCAGCACAAGCACATGACAGCTAATGACTTAAAACCTAGCCATCAACACAACCCAATCAACATTTAAAACACCATATACACCAGGCATTGTAAATACCACACACAGAACAACACACACTCTGCTAGAGAGAAGTTCCCTGAAGAAGGGCTCCAGCATGAGTCTGAAAGGGTCTGCTGCTTGGGTGGGGGGTTGGACTAGACCAGTGGTTGCCAACCAGTGGGCCGGGGACCACTGGTGGTCCGCAAAAATTTTTGGGTGGTCCGCAGAGAAATGTCACCCCCAAAGCAATTAATCCAGGCTGCACGGGAACACAAGGCTGCTCCGCCCACATGGACCATGGGAACACAAGGCTTGCATCGCTTGCATTGCAAACAACATAAGGTAGTGAGGGGATGGGGGAAAGGGTAGAGTGGGGGGACTTGCCCCACTCGCCCCATGCACTTCACCTGGCCACCAGGCTGCTTCTTTCTGCTTCTTTCTTTTCTGCTTTTGGCTGCAGGCAAGGAAAGCAGCAAAAGTCTTTCTTTCTCTCCCCCAAACTCCGCCAGAAATGAGTCTTGGGGACCCTGCAAGGCCTCCTGCTCCAAGAGGCTGTGCCGGCACGACAAGTCTCACAAAGACTCGTTTCTGGCAGAGTTTGGGGGAGAGAAAGAAAGACTTCTGCTGCTTCTGCTGCTTTCCTTGCATGAAGCCAAAAGTCTCTCTCTCTCTCTCTCTGAGAACAGAGCTGGAGACGGTATCCTGCGATCTCAAATAATGAATGATCAATTGGTAGGAAAACAGAGTGGGGAATTTTCCTGCAGACTTTTTTGGGGATTTTCCCAGGGTCTCTGCTCCGCGGGATTTAAAATTATGAGTTTGGTGGTCCTTGAGGTCCAAAAGGTTGGTGACCTCTGGACTCGATGACCTACAAGGTCCCTTCCATTAATCTGAATGTGAAAGCTCAGAAGATAAAACCTCTGGTTCCAGTGACTGGCCCAGAATGGATCCTGCAAGATTATCTATACTTACTTGTAAGTAACAAATAAGTCTGTCTTATCCACTTACTTGCTCGCCTCCAGACATGCCAAAGCTGGCCAGATGATAAATGGTGTCGATTCCCTCACTAGCTTGGAAGACTTTCTCATAATCACACACATCGGCCTGGGAATATGTTTGTGTGGGAAAGAAAGAAGTTCACATGAAAACAAGAAACATCAAGGAACCTCCCTGCAATGTTCTTGTTGATTTTATCACCATTTTCTGGCTAAGCCCGATAGTGTTGCAAGATTTTTTTTACAACCAAGAAGTATTGCATTAATAATGAGGGTACAGGTAGTCCTTGGCTTATGACCATTCGTTCCATGAATATTCAAAGTTATGACAGTGCTGAAAAAAGGCATTTATGACCATCTTAAAAGGCTAATTCATGGCAATTAACAAAGTTGGTTAATCTGAGATGTTTCGTTATTCATCCAAGTAACTTCATCGGTCAAAATAAAAAAAAAATTAGACAGAGAATTGTTGGAAAGATACTAACTCTTGCCACACCAACTGCAGAGGTTTCTTTCAAAGTGAATTGCAATATGTAAACGAAGACTCAACCATCCAGGCCAAAATATTAAATCATGCAATATATTTTGTGGAGAAACCTCTGCAGTTGGTGTGGCAAGGGTTAATACATTCCAACAACTCTCTGCCTAACTAATTTTCTCCCTCCCTCTCTCTCTCTCTCTCTCTCTCTCTCTCTCTCTCTGTATATGTGTGTGTGTGGTGGCTCAGTAGCTAAGATGCTGAGCTTGTCGATCAGAAAACTCAGCAGTTCAGTGATTCTAATCCCCAGCACCGCGTAACGGAGTGAGCTCTGGTTACTTGTCCCAGCTTCTGCAGTTCGAAAGCATGTAAAAAATGCAAGTAGAAAAATAAGGGACCCCTTTGGTGGGAAGGTAACAGCGTTCAGTGCGCCTTCGGCATTTAGTCATGCCGGCCATATGACCACGGAGACGTCTTCAGAGAGCACTGGCTCTTCAGCTTTGAAACAGAGATGAGCACCGCCCCCTATAGCCGGAAACGACTAGCATGTATATGCGAAGGGAACTTTTACCTTTAACATATAGCAAGACTTGGCGTCTTGCTGGCATTCTGCCATCAAAGGCTGGGGAAAGGAGGAACAAGGGGGGTTGGAAACAAATGGGCAATAACCCTGTATGAGTATACGATGGGATGGCAGCTTGACTAAGAACAGCGACGCTCAGGACCAATTTGTGCCAGCAGCCAAGGCCTGGCACCCTGAGAAAGAATGTGGAATACTCCCAACATCTCAGCCTTCTCAAAATACCTAGGTAAATCTTCCTTGGTGGAAGATGGAGAGATCATGGGGTGAGTGGAAGCATTTTGTACCTATTTCACGTGGGAAATTCAGCTCTAGCCTGACTTTACTGCAACCACCATTTTTGGGTAAAAGAAGCGATCACTTCACTTCCGTGGAGTCGAGGGGCTTTCTTTCCTAAGGGATCAGACTGCAGCAGGACCGACACTAACAGTCAAACTGATCTTACCTGGAAGAAGACCGCTCCCTTGGGGAGCTCCCATTTAGGTTCACGTCTATCAAGCAGAACCACACCAATCCCTTCCTGGAGGAGAACACGGCTCAGGTGGAATCCACTATATCCCGTACCACCAGTGATCATTGCCTTTGGACCTAAGGATCCCATCTGCCTGGGGATTCTCCAATCAGAGGCCTCGCCTGGGTGGATCACTTTTTCACTGGATTTTCTTTGGAGGACATCCTCGCGCTGACGAAACATGGCTGGAAAACTTCAGTTTGGTTCGTTAAGGTGGGGGGGCTTTTTAAACCAGAGCACCAGATTACGTGCCTTTACAAACAGGTTGTGGATGGATCTCCAAAGCCTTCCTGCGTAAAACCAAGGAAACAAAAACCAACGGTTACCCCAACCTCATGAGGCGCTTTGCAATATTTAGGTTTTTATTTGGCAAGCGCTTCAGGGTGGTATTTGATATTCTTTTATCTTTTTCTTAAGATGAAGTCATTAAGGTAGGATAAGAATTTAATCAATCTATAAACAGAGTAGGCTTCCATCAATTGGCACCTTAGCATTCAATAACAACTCTTACTGAACAATCTAAATAAAAGTAAAATGCCCGTAACTTGAATTGGCTTCCTTGTAACTATGTGAGTAGATTCTTGTAGTTTTCAAGCTGAAATTATCCAATGTGGAATCTATTATGAGAAGATGCAGCTATTTTAAAAGGCCTTTGATGCTGGGAATGAATGAGAAGAAGAGCTCGGTCAACAGCAGGGTCGATGGACATAATGACAGCATCAGAAAACCTGAAGGAGGTCTGTTATCTTAAAACACTATTACTTTAGTCTGAGAATGGAACTATGCAAATTAATTAAGGAGAGTACTTGTAAATGTTTTAGCAGCGGCTAGAATTGTATTTGCGAAGAACTGGAAAAATGACAAAATACCTATGCAGGAGGAAGTTATCAAAAAAATTATGGACTGTGCTGAAATGAGTAAACTGACACTTGAAATTAGAGAGCAAGAAGATAAGCAATTTTATATGATATGGGATTTGTTTTATCAATAGTTGGATAAAAAGGCACGGTAATATAATAGACTAGATAATTTTGTGATAGAAATCTAATAGATTGATATAAAACATAATATAAATATATATAACCACTGGTTGAAAGTATAACATAAATTTTAAGATAAAACTTGGAACATCTTGTATAAAACAATGGAATAAATAGTTTAGTCATGGATGATTAATAACTGATAAATATATAAACATACGTTAGTTTGACAATGTGAAGACTGATATAAATTGTGAGTAAATGACTACAAAAGTATAGCACAAAAGATACGTAAACCAACTGACACACTATATGTATATAAAATGGAAGAGGATTTTATGTTTTTTATGTTTTTGTATGTGTATGTTTGTGTTTAAAAATTAAAAAAAACTTTAAAAAATAATAATTAAGGAGAGTTTTTCTGTGCATCTTCTAGAAGAATAAGTAGGAACTGAACTAGGAATTTGGGACGCAGGAGAAGCAGCATATAAATTAGAAATGCGTATTATATTAAGATTTGTGTCCTCAGAACAATTTGGAGAACAAATGCAGGTCCAGAAGAAAAGGAAAAAAAAACCCTCCCATTTGGTACTTTTTTTAAAATGTGGAATTCTTGTTCTGTCTACCAAATCTTTAGAATGGGTTACTAAGAGTTTTGTAGCTGGTAAAAAGAGAAATAAACTTGCCATTTTAAGGCTTGGGGTATAAACCATCTGCTTAATTTTGGTTTTGTGACTTAATTAAGAAAAAAACTCTAGAAACCTTATGATCTTGCCTCTCCCCCCCCCCCCCCCCCCCAGTTTCAGGACCTGCCTGCATCCCCAGTGCCATGCATTAAAAAATATGTAAGAATAGCTTAATCCTAAATCATTATCGTTACCTTTAGCCTATAGGTGGTGCCTTCAACAATCCAGTAGTGTTTCCTTCGTTGTGGATTCTTGGAACTGATTTTTCAAAATCACCAAGGACTTGAGAGAAACTCTGGGGAAAACTCTTACCTTTTATAGCAGCACCCTTTAAGGGTAAGCAAGCTATGTTGGATTGATACTATTGGTGTTCGTGACCACGCTCCGGAGCCAAAACAGTGGCAAGTGTTTCATCACTCATCCTGGACGTTTTATGGCATTCCGATTACATACATCACCTTGGTAAATTTATGTCCTGGATAAGAATAATTATGCAGAAGAACTAAAGTGCCAGAACAAGTAAGGAACATTGGGTTACCATGCTTGGCACTTTGCCCCAAATCTTGTAATTTTCGAAAGCAGTGAAACAAAAATTTTGTGAATATGTAATCCTCTTACTGGGTAACTTGTCATGTTTCTTCTTTTCTTTCTTTCTTTCTTTCTTTCTTTCTTTCTTTCTTTCTTTCTTTCTTTCTTTCTTTCTTTCTTTCTTTCTTTCTTTTTCTTTCTTTCTTTCTTCTATCTATCTATCTATCTATCTATCTATCTATCTATCTATCTATCTATCTATCTATCTATCTATCTATCTATCTATCAATCATCTATCTATCTATCTATCTATTTTCTGATTACCCATAAGAGTGTGGGAGCTCACAAGGTTAGAACCAGTGGTGGGATTCAAATTTTTTTACTACCGGGTTCTGTGAGCATAACTTAGTGGGTGTGGCAGGGGAAGGATACTGTAAAATCTCTAGTCAGAGGTGGTATTTGCCGGTTCTCCGAACTACTCAAAATTTCTGCTACTGGTTCTCCAGAACTGGTCAGAACCTGCTGAATACCACCTCTGGTTAGAACGCTGGGCTGACAATCAGCAGGATCATGTTTGAGACCCGTTGCTGCTGCAGTGTGGGTGAGCTTCCATCACATACTCCATCTCTTGCCGACTCAGCAACCTGAAAGCAGGCAACTGCAAGTAGATAAATGGGTACCACTTTTGGTTTTTTTTCCAAAAAGTTTTTTTATTTTATATACAATAATTCTATTCCATTTCAACCGTGTGTCGACTAGGTACATATTTCTTGTGCTTACAATTATAATTAATACTTTTCTTACCAATATCACAATAATCACATTTTCTTATAAGTATTCTCTAGTATACATTTTTGACAACCTTATTACTTTATATATTCATCTAATTCGTATTAGTTTTATTTTCTAACCATTGATAAAATAAATCCCAGACCATATAATATTCTGTTTCTTCTTTTTCTTTCATTACCAATGTTAGTCTATTCATTTCTGCACAAATATTTTCTCAATTATTTTATTTTCTGTCGGTATCGTTTTGCTTTTCAAATTCTGAGCAAATACAATTCTAGCTGCTGCTAACACATATATAATTAAATATAGGGTTTTTTTTGCTGTTACCTTCAGGTACCATTCCTAATAAAAATATTTCAGGTTTCAAGTCTATATGTTGTTTAATCATTTTTTCCAACCTTGTGTGTATTTTTGTCCAATATCTTTTAGGATTTATACAAGACCCCCACATATGGTAGTATGTTCCCGGTGTTTGGTGACACTTCCAGTATTTGGCTGATTTATCTTTAAACATCTTAGCTTATTTTGCTGATGCAAAGTGCCAACTATAAAACATGTTATACAAGTTTTCTTTATATGCTGTCGATATTGTTAGTTTATAGTTTCTGCCATTTATCTAGTTATATAGTATATCCAAATTTTTTGTCCATGCTATCATTGTTTCTTTAACTTGTTCTTCTTCTAATTTAATACCTAACAAATAACAATATAATCTTTTAATCAGCTTATCTTCCATTCCTGTTAATATTTTATCTAACTCTGTCAACTCCTTATAAATATCTTCAGCTTTAATATCTTTTTCATATCTTGATTGTATTTGCATATATGAATACCAATGAATTTCCAACCCTTGTTCATTCAATTGTTGTTTTGTTTTGAACTCACTCTTTTCATTTAAAATATCTTTGTATCTGGCAATAATTCCCATTTTATAAACATTTGGATGTATACATGCTTCCACTGTTGACAACCAGACTGGTATCTTCATATAATGTTGTTCTCTAGTTTTTTCCCATGCTTGTAACAATGCATTCCTGACCATATGTCTTTGAAAGTACCCATGTATTTTGCTTCTCCTGTACCACAAAAATGCATGCCAACCCATTTGCAAATTAATGTTAATCTTTTATTCCTCAGTGTTATCCATTCTTTCATCTAGGTTAATACCATGGCCTGATAATATATTTTCCAATTATGTAACCCAAATCTCCTCTAGTTCTTGCATCCTGTAGCATTTTTTATGTTACCGTATTTGCCGGCGTATAAGACGACTTTTTTGCCCTGAAAAACATGCCTCCAAGTGGGGGGGTCGTCTTATACGCCGGGAGGACTCCGACTCCCACTTCGAGCTTGAGTTGCAGCCGGGAGGGAGGCTGGGGGGGGGAGCGGTGTGTGTGTGTGTGTGTGTGTGTGTGTGTGTGGCGGGTGTCACTCGCCACGCGCTGCGCAACCTTTCCCCCTCTTCCTTCCTTAGCGGTGTGGGGAGGAGAGGATTCGAAGATCCTCACGTGCGGTGTACTTTTCTTTTTCTTTTTTTCTTTTTGCACGCAGGTTTTGCATGCGGGCGGCTGTAGGTTAAGGATGGGGGAGCCCCCGGGTGGGTTATCAGGTTTTACGGTGCTTCCAACATGTGCGAACGGTGGGAGAGCGGAGAAGAGAGCGAGCGAGCGCCCCGCTGTGTGAAATCCTGCCGTCAAAAGCAACACTGGGGGAGGCAGGGTATAAATTTACCAGGTTAATGTAGCAATGGTGATTAATGCCCAGAACATTGTTTGCGGGTATTGGGGTGTGTGTGTGTGTGTGGTGGTGGTGAGGAGAGGTTGTCCTTTGAATGCGGAAAAGTAGGTGTGACCTTGTGTAGGAAAATAAAGAGATCCTTTTTAGCGTGTTTGGCTTCTTTGCCTCCCCTCGTTCGTTTTGATGTGGAGATAATGGCCTTCGGGCGGGAGGGGAAGAAAACTGTAGCTGGATCATTTCAAATTTCACTTACTCTCCTGCCTCACTTCAATATGTCTGAGCGACTCCAGATACTGGAAGACTTTTTGAATGAAAGTGTTACCTCCATTTTTTTTTTTAAAGAGGGCCACTTGGGGAAAAAAAAAGATTCTAAGGAATTCCTTGTTTCTTGATTAAAGAGAAGGCATTGAATATACTGTTCCTTGGCAGCCTTTTCAGTGTCCGGGTTTTTGGTGTGTGTGTGTGTGTGTGAGAGAGAGAGAGAGAGAGAGAGATCAGCTGTATTGAGAAGAGAACGTTTCCTGTGTTCTCATTTTATTTACAACATATTTTACGCTTAATGGTAAGCAATGAAAAATATTTTTAAAACTCATTTCTAAACTCCATAGCTATTGGCATATTCTTGGTTCAAAATTGGATTAGCTCATTTCAAAATTGTCCAAAGCAGAAAAGTGCGTCAAAAAAAAAAAAAAAGTGCAAAAGTGGAAGGTGTGTGGAAGAGGGGTAGTCTTATACGGCGAGTATATAACAAACTCTATATTTTGAGTGGAAATGTTGGGGGGTCGTCTTATACGCCCAGTCGTCTTATACGCCGGCAAATACGGTAAATCTTGCTTTCTTCCCTTGCCATATATATTTCAATACTATTTTATTAATATCTTCAAAATATTTTTCCCCAATTTTATCGGAATTGTTTGAAACAAATACAGCACTTTTGGTAATATGTTCATCTTAATCGCCACTATTCTTCCTGCATATTACCCCATTTTTCCAACTTGGTTTTAATTTGGTAAGTTTATAATAATTATCTTCTTTAATTGTTCCACATTTTGCCATCAACTGAATTCCTAAATATTTAACTTTCTTTACTATCTGAATATCTATACTCTTTATCAATTCTTTTTTTCTGTTTCTCTGTCATATTTTTTACCAATATCTTAGTTTTCCCTTTGTTTATTTTTAATCCAGTCATTTTCCCATATTCCTCTATTTTGTTTATTAGCTTGGTCCTGTTCCTAGAGGCTCTTCTAATATAAAAACGAAATCATCTGCAAATGCCTGTAATTTATGCTCCTTTTTTCTTATTTCCATCCCTTTTATCTCGTCTTTCCTAATATTTCTATTTAATACTTCTAATGTTAATACAAACAACAATGGTGACACAGCAGTGTCATTTCTCAATATGTTTTTTCCCCGTCAATTCTCCATTAACCATTACCTTTGCATATTGTTTGCAATATATTGTCTTAATCATATTAATAAACCTTTCTCCAAACTCCCTTTCTTCTATATGTGTCAACATAAATTGCCAGTTCACATTGTCGAAGGCCTTCTGTGCATATAAAAATATCAATGCCATTTGTTTTTCAGGATGTGCTTCATAGTATTCCAAAATGTTTAAAATTATTCTCATATTGTCCTTTATTTGTCTCTTAGGTAGGAAAAATGGGTACCACTTTGATGGGCAAGTTCAGGGGGACACAAAAAGAGCCCCTGACTGGTTGTCCTATGGGCAATGGTGATGTCACTGACCAATCCTTCCACCATGGAAGTACCGGTAGTAGCAGTACTAAATACCCATTCAAGGCAATGGTTTGTAACCTTCAACTTGACTTTGAGTTGTATTTTGAAAATGACATCTACCCATCATCCATTGTCTTTCAGCCCATTGATTGGATGATTATGAACCATCATAAATCAATCTGTACAGGACCATATGATGTGAATTGTACTGCTGATGCATGATGTGTTGGGTTGCCAACAATGTAATTAAAGCAGGCACGTTGAAGTCTGATGGGGCCACATGACACCTGCATACAATCAATGGAGCATAAATAGCAATTAATTTGAAGATGTTCAGGTTATAGGAAATGCCAGGGTAGCATAAGTAGCAATTAATTTGAAGATTGTAGGCCAATCTTCATGGCCGATAATTTGACCTACAAGACTGAGGTGACTGGATGAAAACTAGCAAACTCTGTTTCTTGAAAGAGCAGCAACCAACTATTATCCGATAAAGAGAAATGTAGCAAATATGGGCGCTGTGGGTGAAAAACAATCAAGATGGCAGCTGTGATTGTGTGGATAGAATTTCTTTCCCTTTCATATATGGATGGTGCAATGGATGTAGAAAATGGATGTGGCCACAGTTGCTGTCTTAGTCATCCCTATGTTTGGACATCATCCCTCTTCCCTGGATGCAACTATTAGCACAGGTGACCATTTTAGCATGATGAGCTTTTCTTTATCATGATTGTTAATTGAGTAACTTTCCTACACAACAGTGCTACCTGGACAAAATGGTGAAGAAGTCAAACGAGGGGTTAGAAATCAGTGCGGGCTGCTTTTCAAAAGAAGAAGATGACAAGGTTCATTTATGGTTTAAATATTTATGATTTTGGTTTCTTGGGCACAGCTACGTCGAAGGGTTGACATTGGGGGACCAATTTTTAAAGCTAGGTTAATCTAACCCTAGGTCAATTGGTGGTGATGGGGAGCTCAGAGGGGGACGAAGTGAAGAAGCAAACATAAAGGGGGAAAAAAAGGATTAAATCAAACTTATTTTCCAGGAGAACTCTTCTGTCAAGTTTATTGACACTGAAAGGATCATGACATTTGAAATGTTCTTTCCATCTTTCCAAAAGAAACGTGGTGATGGAGCAGTTGATTTATTCTTCCTTTTTAGTCAAGAAGTATAGTTCTAGGCTGGCACACTGGCAGAATTTCAAAAAAAAAATCAGTTTTTTTGTTTCTTAGACAGTAACATATACCTCGTTTTTTGAGTTCTGTTTATCCACTGCACCACACAGTGTAACAGCTTAGCCTTAGATGGTACTTTGCAACACACGTTCTCACCAATCCCAAAAGTGCTTTTTCAAAAGCCAACTGGACTTTCTTTGTTTTTTCCTTGAAGACGTTTTGCTTCTCATCCAAGAAGCTTCTTCAGTTCTCCATCCCAAGACTTCAGTTCAGTTTAGTTCTTCTCATCCAAGAAGCTGAAGAAAGAATCTTCTTGGATGAGAAGAACTGAACCAAACTGAAGTGGATGAAGAAGAACTGAAGAAGCTTCTTGAACAAAAAGTGAAACGCCTTCAAGGAAAAACAAAGACACTCCAGTTGCCTTTGGGACAACCATGACCTGGATAATGGAGAATCTCCATAGATGTTTTCATTAATCTTTTTCACTGGACATCTGACGCGGGATGATGGAATCAGCATCATCCAATATTTCCAGGAATGTTGATCTTGATCAGCAATTTGGAGTTTCCATTTGAAGAGATCTCATCTTACCTCTCGGTCTCCTTTTTGAGTTTCACAGAAACGAGCCAGCCCCAAATCCAGAAGACAATGGGAACTGTGGGAAATGAAGTTTTTTCGCCTCCCCCCCCCAAAAAAAACAGCTTCTGGGGGGGACAACCTTTTTCACCTTCAAAAAGTGTTCACTCCATAAGCAAAGTTATAAAATGACCGTGAAGTGTGAGCAGCCCGTTCTAATTGCATTTGGCAAAGCTTAAAAGATTGTAAATGGATCCCCAGATTAATAAGATCACCCAGGATCCATCATTCAGGGGGCGGTGAAGAAGGGAAGAGAGGCTGTATCGAGATTGGGGTGGTGTGAAATGCGATTATTTTCCAGATCATATAAAGAACGAGAAAAGTAGAAAGCTTTTTTTCAAGTTTCTTTGTTTTCAATCTAGAATTCTCGCGTGAATGGAGGAAGATTTGCCAACTGGGATATTATAGCAGCAGTTTAGGACAATAAAAATTAAAATTAAACTCCTTTGCTGGATCTGTGGAAAGAATGACAAGAGAGTAAGATTTTAATTTAAAAAAGACAACCTCTGGTGTAATTCACCCGTAAGATCATTCATCTTGATTCTGTCTGGGTGAGAATAAAGTATAGGTAGTCCTCAGCTTACAGCCATTCAAAGTTACAACAGCACTGAAAAAAAGGGACTTGCTTTTCACACTTATGACCATTGAAACATTCCCACAGTCACATGATCAAAATTCAGATGATTCCCCTGTTGTGACCTTCTGACAAGCAAAGTCAATGGGGAAGCCAGATTCACTTCACAACTAGGTGACTAATTTAACACCTCCGGTGATTCACTTAACAATGGTGGTAAGGAAGGTCATAAAACAGGGCAACGTTCACTTAACAAATGCCTCTTAGCAACAGAAAATTTGGGGCTCAGTTGTGATCATGTCACGGATTACTTGTGTTTATGGCCACTGTTAGTGTTTTTGACAGTTTTCACATATTTGGAGTAGATATCTTTCTGAAAAAACACCCAGCTATTCAGCACAAAAGATCAACAAGCAAACATATGTACATTCTACCTGGAAGCAATTGTATTAAGGGGGATGGCTCTTCTTCTTTTCTAAAAGTGATCTAGTAAAAAGAAAGATACAAAAAGATTGCATTATTATCTATGATTTGCTTTCATCTCCTGCTCATTTTATGCAATAGCAAATACCCTGAGAGGTTTTCCCCCTCTCCAAAATATAATTAAAGGAAAATGGAAACCTGTCCCAAAAGAGCAAGCAAGAAACCACCAACCCTTCAAACGAAAAAACAAGGAGAAGGGAAATGGACAAATCCAAATATTAGACAGTCACCTAAATATCTTTGCCTGTGTTAAATATTTCCTGGCTTTGTCTATTTCTTCGACAAGCTTCTTCAAATCGTCTCCTTCGAACAAGGGGAAAACAGGATCCTGGGTAGAAAAAAAACCCAACCAACCAAGAATGTAGGTTTTGTTTCGTTTTGTTTAAGTGAAGATCAATTGATCATTAAAGAAAACAAAGGTCAAAGAACATCCCTCTTCCTTGGGAACATCTGCTAGAAACGTAGGAAGCAGGAAATCTGTCCTGATAATATCTTTCTGGCTATATATAGACAATCTTTGATTTAACACCTTCCTTAATAATAATGACCTTACTTAATAACCCTTTGGCATCAACATAAAGCACTTCCAGTCATTATAAAATATCATGCTGTTCCCTGTTGGTCATTTCAGGCCCTGGCAATGCCTGCTACTGGTTGCAGTATCATATACAGTCATCTAGCCGTGGTTTGAAATTCTTCTCTCTTTTTTGGGCCAGTTTTTGGTTAAAAAAAAACCCCTCCCTTCGATTTGGGAGAATGAAATTCGCTATTGCAGCCACGTGATTCAGACTTATGATGTGTGATTCGCTCAATGACTGCCATAAAGACGGTTGTAAGACCAGGTCCAGTTAATGGGGGCGCATCAACTTACGACCGTCATGACTTACAATTGGGAAATGCTGGCCCCGATTGCAGTCATAACTCGAGGGCTACCTGTCTGAAGCCCTGTACAAACTGACTAGGAATAATTCAAAGTGGAAAAGGTACCGTATTTATCGGCGTATAACACGCACAGGCGTATAACACGCATCTTCATTTTAAGAGGGAAATTTCACCCCCACTCCCACCCCGCGCGCGCGTGCGCTTCAATCCACAGTGTCCCATTCTGCCTGCCTGCCTGCCTGCCTTAGTTTCTGGTTGTTTGGGAGCAGCTTCGGCTGAGAATAATAACTATTCGCCTCTTTTACTCAGCCGAAGCTGTTCCGATTCAACCATTAACGAAGGCAGGCAGGCAGGCAGAACGGAGCACTGCGGGCGGGCGGGCGGGGTGGGGGTGGGGGAGAAACGGGCGCTTCAGGGAAGCTGCAGGGACAGGAAAAGCCCCCCCCCCCCCGCCTCTTTGAAGCAGTTTCTTCCTGTGCTGGTGGAGGAGCGAGAGAGCGACTGAGAGAGCTGACCCAAAGAGAAGGACAGGCTTCGGTTGCTTCCTCCCTCCCCTTCTTTCATTTGTGTCCTTGATCCCCGATCCCAGCAGCATTCACCGAAGGCTTCTTAACATTATATCGGCGTATAACACGCATACATCATTTGCCCCCTATTTTCAGGGGGAAAAAAGTGCGTGTTATACGCCGATAAATACGGTAACTTTAATGAAGATGGTATGTAAGGATGAATGAGATGGGAGAATAAGAATCGTAGAGAGGCCATCACTGCCAGAAATGAAACTGCTAGACAAGTAATAATATAATTTGTACTCCAAAAGTACTTTTCCAAAAGGCAACTGGACTTTCTTCGTTTTTCCTTGAAGACGTTTCACTTCTCATCCAAGAAGCTTCTTCAGTTCTTCAGAACTGAAGAAGCTTCTCGCATGAGAAGCAAAATGTCTTCAAGGAAAAAAAAATCAAGGAAAAAAAAAGTCCAGTTGCCTTTTGAAAAAACACTTTTGGGACACCCATGAGCTAGATCATTGAGTATCTCCATAAACAATATAATCTGTAGTGGTTTTAATGTTTGTGAGCCACCCAGAGTCATCTCTGGATAGGATGGGAGGCACATTAATTTAATAAATAAATCGAATGAATGAATGAATGAAAATGGTTGAAGCAACAAGGGTCTGTTAAGACTTTGCGCTGTCCAAGGTCCTGACTAACTTCTAATGCAAGGGTCTTCAAACTTGGCAAGTTTAAGACTTGTGGACTTCAACTCCCAGAATTCCTGAGCTAACATGACTGGAGGAGGAGGAATTCTGGGAGTTGAAGTCCACAAGTCTTAAAGCTGTGAAGTTTGAAGACCCCTGTTCTAATGCAACGTTTTTCAATCTTGACAACTTGAAGTTGTGTGGATTTCAACTTCCAGAATTTCCCAACCAGCAGATCACCAAGGTTGAGGAAAAAACACTGATTGACGGTAAGTGGTCTAATCATAATCTAATCTTGTGGGTGTTGCACAGTGGATTGCAGGGACTTCATTGTAAAATTATTGGGAAGGAAGATTAGCTCACAGATTCTGAGTTGGGTCAAGGAGAGGTACCTCTTCATCTTTAAAGCCTTGCGAAAGCAGTTGGTGTGCGGCCAACTGTCCATCCACATCTCCATGGCAACGATGGTAGCGTCCACCGGTCTGGAAGGCGAGTTTCTTGAGAAAGTCATTGGCCCCTCTATTGAAGACAAAAAAGGAGAAGGTCCCAATCTGGGAGTCGTTTGAGTTCAGTCCTCAACGTTAAGTTCCAAGGGTCAGGAAGACTCAGAGAAGTTGGCCGCTTGCTAAATTGGCCCTGCTGCAGAACCCCTTTTTTAAAAAATTATATTGGCCCAGGGTTCAATTTGAAAAATCACTTTGGGAAGCCAAGCGAGAGTTACCTGTCTGTGCAATTGAAAGAAATGGTGTGGATGCTAACGGCGTGACTCTTCGTAAGTGCTTCGATTTCTTTGAGAATTAAGTTGCAACTGGTGTCAGGTTTTCCATCGGTCAAAATGTACAGGGCTTCTACATTTTCTAGACTAAGTGCTCTCTGAAAATGACAACAAACATACCTTGAATTAAACCAGAGATTAGACACTACAATCATCATCTTTTAATGACCCCCATAATCCCTCGCGGGGTGGAATCTGGGCAACTGAATGGGGCTAGCAGAATGTTTACTGACTGGATGCCTTTCCTGTTGCCAATGCGGAGTTTTGTTCAACAGATAGATTCTCATTGCGCCCAGAGAGAGAAATACCTACCTAGGACCCAACTCACAGCCTCCTAATTGTGAGGCAAGAGCTCTGTCTCTAGGCCACCACACCACTCCAGCTTTGACATGACAACGCTGTGATTAAAATGTTTAGTTCACTCACTGGGTCATTGAGGAGAAATGCCTTGTTGAATGAAGTAAATAAGATTTTATCTGCGTGACCAACAGATAAACCTGCACTTAGGACAGTGATGGTGAACCTATGGCAGAGCCATGTGTGCAGGCACGTGAGCGCCAGCCACTTACCTGCACTGTGCATGCACATGGCCTCTCAGGTGATTTTCGGCCTGTTTAAGGCTGGAGGCCTGAGGGAAGTGACTTGTATTTATGACGGTTGCAGTGTCCCAGGATCACTTGACCGCCATTGGTGACCCCCCCCCAGCAAGCAAAGTCACTGGGGAAGCCAGATTGTACCCCGGGAGGCTGAAAACTGGGCCTTCCGGAAAAACCGGAAGTGTCAAAACAGGCCCATTTTCAGCCCCCTGAGGCTCCAGAGGCTTGCCTTGAGCCTCCGGCAGGGCGAAAACGGCCTCCCTTGGGCTCCAGAGGCTCTCCGGAGACTGAAAACGGGCACTTCCGGTATTTTCAGAAGGGCTGTTTTTCGGCCTCCCAAGGCTGCCTCCGGAAGGACAAAAACGGCCTCAAACAGGCTGAAAATCAGCTGGGAAGCACATGCATGTGCAGTTCGGGAAAGGGGGCGGGTGTGTGTGTGTTGTGCACGCATGTGCAGAGCGCATTGCACTGTAGGTGCCGGCACATGCGTACTTTCGGCACGCCACAGCAAAAAGGTTCGCCATCACTGACTTATGACCACAATTTAAGTTGTGATTGGATAAAAGCTTTAAAGAAAGTCCTGGCAATCAGAGACCTAGATTCAGTGATGATCATAGTAGGAACCTGGTAAGCCACCTGTTGAAAGACATATTTTGTCCATGGTTTAAAATGCACAGGTGGTCCTCGGCTTACGACCACGACTGAGCCCAAAATTTCTGCTGCTGCGGAAGTTGTTCAGTGAGCTTTGCGGCCTTTTACAACCTTTCTTGCCACTGTTATTAACTGAATCACTGCAGTGCTTAAGTCAGTCACACAGTCGTTAAGTGAATCTGGCTTCCCCAGTGACTTTGCTTGCTGGGGGGGTCACCAATGGTGGTCAAGTGATCCTGGGACACTGCAACCATCATAAATACGAGTCAGTTGCACAGTTTGATCACGTGACCCTTGGGGATTCTGCAACAGTCTTAAGTGTGAAAAACGGTCATATGTCTCTCTTGTTTTCAGTACCGTTGTAACTTCGAATGGCACCAAACAAATAGTTGTAAGTAGAAATGTAGAATCTGTAGTTTCAAGAACCCAAACTTCAATCCTTACGGTATAGATAACCTATCTAATATAATTCTTCCCAGTATATTCGTGCTACAAATCAGGTACAAAATGGTTGAGTTTCCCTTTCCAACAGTCTTAAGAAAAACTCCCACTAGAATATTCCCTCAAAATAGCACTGGAATCCAGAAAATCCATAGCAGATTGACTGATTTATTCATTGATTGATCGATCGATTGATTGAATTTATTTTGCTGCCTATTCGCCCATGGCGACTCAAGGCGGCTTACAGAATGTAAAACCATATTTAAAATGGAAAAACAATAAAAACTAACAAAAAGAATCAAATAAATTAATACAGTACAATAGCACAAAATCTGGAAAATAAATAAATAAATAAACAAACAAACAAACAAACAAATAATCACCTCCCAACTCTGCCCCGACGACAACACATCACACGAGCCATTTGATGGGCTCCATCCTGCTCTGAGTTCCCCAGGCCTACTGGCAGAACCAGGTCTTCGGTGCTAGAATGGGGGCCATTCTAATCTCTGGGAGAATGGTGTTCCAGAAAGAGGGAGCCACCACGGAGAAGGCCCTTCTTCTGGGTCCCACCAGGGGTATCTCCCTCAGGGATGGGACCCACAGCATTCCTTGCCTGACAGATCACCTGGTCCCAAGCCATGAAGGGCTTTAAAGGTGACAACCAGCCCCTTGAATTGCACCTGGAAGCAAATCAGCAACCAATGCAGCTCCCGCTTATAATGTTTTGAAGGGAAAATCCATTCTCTATGTTGGGATCCTCAGACACGGTGACTTTAAGACTTGTGGACTTCAACTCATCATGGCTGGTTGAGGAATTCTGGGAGTTGAAGTCCACAAGTCTTAACGTTGCCAGAGTTGGAAATCCCTGCTCTATGCCGTTGGCTCCAGGGTTTACGGCAACACTGTTGAACCGCAAAGCTTTGGTTCAACGAAACCAACCTGTAAAGCCTTCAGAATGGATGTATTCCCATGAGCCTGAAAGAGGGACACCCACTGGGCAGCCTCGTGGCACATTTCATCGGTGGCCTCCACAAGGCACTCCTGCCAAAGTTGGACCTCTTCTGCAAAAGCGATGAGGTTGAACCTGGAGAGAAAGCAAGATATCTATCACCAAGCGACAATCAGACAACCACATCAGCAAAACTGCAGCGAGGATTATGTTGAGGTAAACTAAGTGATTAACAGTTTATATCATTACAATTGACACTTCTTCCCCGGGCAATTTGTTGACATTTCTATGGGGGTGGATGAGAGAAATGAGAATTATTCCTGTGAAGAATAGAGCAATTGTAAAGCCATATTTATCTTCTGTATAACCTAAACATGCCTGATGAGAAATTATGTAAGGAATTGTGTAAGAATGTTAGCTGTAAGGAAATAACAAGGCTATAAAAGTCTTACAGTGCATTTCCAGAAAGGAATTTAGTTGGCAGGTCAACATAACTTAGCTTGCAGGTCAAAGGAAGATAGTTTGCAAGTCAAGAAACCAGGTGTCATGCTAAAGTTAATAATGGTAGGGTGTAGCAACAATCAAGGGGATTGAGTTGCTGGAAAGATTGTGAAACCAGAAAGGGGCAGTCACTGGGCGTGGGTGTCTGAAACTATATTTAAACACCAATTATCCCTATGTAAAATGTCTTCTGTAGCTCTACCTATATGAACACAGGAGTCCAACTTTTGCAAAAGCTCAATAAAGCTGTTTTATTATTCAGGAGTCTCCTGTTGATTTCAAACCGAGAATTTTAAATCTCACAGTGGAGAAGATCAGGTGGTCTTCCTTTCATTATCTCTGCAACATTCCACTACTTTTAAGCAAGGACCACCCTAGTTGAGTAATATGTAGGGGGCTGACATTCTAAAATGGACTGACTGAGGTCATGACAAAACTTTGATTAAAGTTGCATCGACTTAGTATTCTTTCTAGTCATGTAAATCACATCTTCTACCGTGTTAATATTTTAATATTAATATTTTGGTAACTATTTTTGAGATCTTTGAAGACCAAACCAGGTACCTTAGGTTACACCCTCTGAATTACCTGCCCCCTTAGCTTGCTGTGATCAGGACTTCTGTGTGTATATAATTTAATAACAGGAATCAACTCCAAACACATCCAGTAGGTCAATTATTTCTTGCAAGTAGGACTTTGTCTGAGAATTCCCACCAGAACCTTCAGCAGATCCACTATCTTCACTGATGTTTCCTCCAAAACTTCCCCAGTGCTGTAGCTATACAGGGTTGCCCTACAACCAATTGGAGTTCTTATACGTCAACAGAAATAGAGAGCTCAACTTTTATCCCTTTGGGAGAAATTTGGGGGTGCGGTCAGGGGAACTCTGCTTATGAGGACAACTTACCAGTCTGAGACTGGTTATCACTGGAATGAGGTAAGCTACTTTCCCTGCAGCTTCCTTACTTGGTGGCCTTCTTCCTCAGCTGTTCCCAGATAAGGGAGGTGAGCTCTTTAGCAACCAGACCCAAGGAGAGCTCCATGGAACCAGATGTGTCGATGAGAATGCAAACTTTGGCTTCCAAGATGACCCCAAAGAATCGGCGGCTGCCTAAGAAAGAGAATTGTTTGTTGAGGTATGGTTTGAAAGTCATTGTTGATTCCATGACTTCTTAGCTTCCAGCACTTTTAAGGCAAATCTAGGCTACAATCCTGGCCCAAATGCTACAGAGGAATGGAGATATAGTGGGCCCTACAAAATCTGACACCTGTCAGGGTTTCAGCAATTGCCCTAATTAAATCATGGGCCTCGGGCCAAGCTTCAAAAGAATTTAAAAGATTTATTAGGAGCAACATGCTGGCATTAACCTAAATGAAGCCAACTCTGGCATACGTAATTTACAGTCACTTGTGACCTTGTTTCCCTGCTCCCCCCCTGGATGTATCATAAATCAGATTCTCCAACAAAGCACGTTCATAGGCTGGGTGTCATCAATCACGTTTTCCAATGAAGGATTTTCCCAAGGGCAGAAGATCTGATAGCCTAGCTACAATCTTTTTAAGATAAGGGTGGCATGTACTTCTGGTTTTAAACTACTATACTGCTCCTTCAGATCCATCCCCTTGTTTATGGCAACTTGAAAACAGGCATTGGAATGTTTGACAAGCTGACAACACCCCAATCATTTCTACAGAGGTTGAAATGAAGGAACCAAAATTTCTCATCAATGGAGTACTTCTTGGACAGTGTCTGGAGCAAGGTTGGGTTATGGCATAACCCCAATCCCACCCATACATTCTTGCATCAAGACACGTGTTTCATCATAATCTCCCTTCCCTTGCACACGCTATGGGCCTGAAATGGTTCAAAGGAGTTAGTTTTCCCCCAACTTTGGGGCCACAGGGGTCCAATTCTGAAAGCAAAGAGCATAATAACTCTTGCCAAGATGGTTAATAATGGAGCAACTCTTCAGTAGGATAGACAGACCCGAGAGAAGCCACTGTAGTCTTCGGACATAGCATCGCAACACTCTCTCCATCTGTTCGATGTAGTCATCCAAATCCTTGGGTTGAATCTGCAGATGTTTCACCATCCCCTGGGAGACCAGATCACAAGATGTCACTCCAAGAGGTGATGGGAGCTCATGTCCTATCATGTAGGCTAGGCTAAGAAACCAAAGCTTTGAAGGTCTAAGACTATTTTTACTGGAATGGCTCTTAGGAGCAGAATCTTGTACGTCTGAATGTGCCGTCCACCTCCCTCATTTTATCTATATGTGAATTAGGGAGGGGCTCTTTTTCTCTTCTATCTTTCTATCATCTATCCATTTCTGTCTAGTCTATCTACCTATTTCTGTCCATCTACTTGTGTGTCTTTCTGTCTGTTTATCCATGTAGTTACCATGTGTCTATTTCTAACTAATTTATCTGTATCACTGTTATCTATCTATCTATCTATCTATCTATCTATCTATCTATCTA